CGGCGCCCCTCCCGCGGGCGCGTCTTCGCCCTCGGCCCCCGCCCGGGGCTGCCCGGCCCGCCGACCCCTTCCGAGGCTCGGGAGGACAGACGCCCTTGGCACGGTGACGCAGGGGTGAAGCAGGGGTGACGTGTCTCCTGCCCCGGGGCGGTGCGGCAGCAGCGAGTGACGAAGCCCTGGGCCCTGACCCCCTGCCCCTGCCCACGCGGGTCTCCGTCTGGCGCGGATGGGGACTGGGAACCCTTTGTGCTGGAGCCTGAAACTCCAGGCCGGTCGAGGCTTTCGGTGCGATGACCCCTCCTTTGGCAGAGGGTGGGGCAAGCTCCGAATCCCTGTTCTTCGGGGGTGAGTATGTGAGGGCTGAATTTCAAGCTCTTCGGAGAAGAGGACGTTTTCGGTCATCTCTGAAATATTTAAAAGGTCACTGTGAGTAGAGAGCAGAGGTAACATGACCGTATTACCTGACCTGTTTCTTTCATTTGCGGCCCGTGCTTAACTCCCTAAATCTAGATCCTCAAACCATCTGCTTCTTAGAATTACAAAATCCCTAATGCTGTTGACTTTTTAAGGGGGCTTTTATGATTAGAACAATCTAAAATGGTATTTGTCTCATGGGTTGCCATATGCATACAGGCGAAAATAGAAAACTGGGCTTTTAGGGAACCTACCATGTTCATGGGGGGTTCAGAGGCTTGAGATGGAGCCATAGTTGAGCCTTTCCAGCTTTTCTCCTAACTGGCCTCCCCTCTCCAATGGCAGGCCTCTGAGGAACTCCTAAAGCAGCACTACACTGACCTGAAAGACCGCCTGCCCATTCTACCCCGAGCTGGTGAAGTACATGAATTCCGGACCGGTGGTGGCCATGGTGAGTGTCTTGGGGGCTGAGGGGAAACTTTTTTCAAGGAAGATTTTCAGGGGTCCTTTTTTAGACATCTGCCCCCACAACTTTAAATTCCTTGTTTTACAAAGGGCGGTTGGTAACTGAGCCACTAGAGGCTACGGAGGAGAAAGGAAAGGGAACCTGGCCTTAGAGAAAAGGATACTTGCAGGAAAATCTTTCCAGGTTTAGAGTCTTACTGCCTTCAGAAGAGTGCTTCATTGCTTCCTTTGTTTTTCTTCTTGAGTTGGAGTCTTTCTATGTTGCCCAGGCTGGAGTGCAGTGGGATACTCACAGCCACTGCAGCCTCGACCTGCTGGCCTCAGGTGATCCTTCTGCCTCAGTCTTCCAAGTAGCTGGAACCACAGGTGTGCGCCACCACACCTGGCTAATTTTTTAAAAAATTTCTTGTAGAGGCTGGGCTCGGTGGCTCAGCCTGTAATCCCAGCACTTTGGGAGGCTGAGGCGAGTGGATTGCCTGAGCCCACCAGTTTGAGACCAGCCCGGGAAACTTGGCGAGACCTCGTCTCTACAGCAAATAAAAAAAAAATTAGCCAGGTGTGGTAGCGCATGCCTGTAGTTCCAGCTACTTGGAAGGCTGAGGTAGAAGGATCACCAGAGCCTAGCAGGTCGAGGCTGCGGTGGTCAGGAGCATGCCTCTGCACTCCAGTCTGGGTGACAGAGTGAGACTCCAACTCAAAAAAAAAAAAAATTTCTTGTAGAGACAAGGTCTCACCAAGTTGCCTAAGCTGGTCTTGAACCCCTGGACTCAGGCAATCCTCTTGCCTCTGCCCCCCAAAGTGCTGAGATTATAGATGTGAACTGCTGCTCCTGGCTCATTGCTTCTTTTTGACAGGTGTTTCAGGCCTTCGTGTTTCCGAGATTTAAAAAAAAAGCACAAAACTTAATTTTCTCATGAAAAATTTAGAACATGAAGCAAAAGTTCAATAATCCCATATTAGAAATGAAGCAATTTCTTCTGGATGGCGTCAGTGTCCAGTTAGGAGGGAAAAGTGTTAGGTCAGACTCCGGATTCTGTGATCGGTGCTGCGAGTAAGATACAAAGAATGGCATAGAAATTAGGTTGGAAAATATAGTTTATTTAGAAAGTATATTAGAGAGAGAGAAAAGATTCACTTCCCCAAGGTAGGGGATGGGGCCGAAGCTTAGGAAAAGTTGGCCCAACCAGAGCTCAAAAAGCCACATGACTGGGCCGGGGCTTAATAGAAGCATGGCCACTGCTGCTTGAGGTTAAATACGAGTTGTGGCCGCAAATGCTTTCTAAACCTTTCCTTTGATGGGGACAGGTCGATAAGGATAGTGGTCTGTTTTACAGATGGTGGTGGATGGTGGTCTGCTTTACAGCATTAACAAAGGGACAGTTAAGGGGACAATTAAGTGCGGGTACTGTCATCACAGATGATGGACCTCAGGCAGGTGGGAGGGTCAGTCACATGACTGTTGCCATGGTGTTGGGGTCTGTCTGTTACCACCCTGATGGCCAAATGGATGGGTGGGCCAGTCACAGATGAGAGCAGCAACTGAAAGGCAAAGTCCTTAGGAGGTGTTAATCTCAATTGTGACATTCTGGGAAAGGAGAATGGAAGTAGAGAGCTTCATAGGAAAGCCCTGAAGTTGAGAAAGTAGACCTACTTCCTGGTCCCCCAGTGTGGCTTCTTCCTTCTGCTCCTTCCTGGAATACTTTCCCTCTTGTGTCACTCTCTGCCATCTGCCATCTCTTGCTGTGGCTGTCTTTTTTTTTTTTTTAAAGCATAGTTTCACGCCGTCTCCTAGGCTGGAGTGCAGTAACACGCTTAGGGCCACCATAGCCTTGACCTGCTGGGCTCAGGGCACCCTTCTGCCACAGCCTCTTATAGAGACGAGATCTCACCAAGTTCCCCAGGCTGATCTCAAAACCCTGGGCTCAGGCAATCTTCTCGTGTCAACCTCCCAAAGTGCTGGGATTGCAGGCATGAGCCACTGTGCCTGGTCTCTAGGTGTGTTCTGGGATGCCCCTCTCACTGATCCTCTTCAGTGGGACCACCTGTCCCTACCCTTCTTCACTGCCTCTTCTCAGTGTTCGTGCCTGCCTAAGGATTTTTCGGTCTTCTTGTTTCTCTCTGTCTCAGCTAGACTGGGAAGTCCCTGAGTTGGGTGGGCTTTTCTCTGGTAGTACGTTTGAGATGGAGTTTTTACTATAGGGCTGTATGCTGGGGTGAGCTGATAAGCATGCCACTGGTGGGTCTCTGGGTGTGTGCTGGGAGTTAGGATCAGCCTTTGTCCCAGTAGCTGTTCTTTACCTAGTGGTCCTGAGTGGCAGGTCTGATGCTTTCCCCTGCTGTCGAGGTCTGGGAGGGGCTAAATGTCATGAAGACGGGCCGCATGATGCTTGGGGAGACCAACCCAGCGGACTCTAAACCAGGCACCATTCGTGGGGACTTCTCCATTCAGATTGGCAGGCAAGTCCTGGGGAGCAGGGGTGGGTGGAGGACTTTTACTCAACACTTTTGTGCAGTGGCATGTTCACAGCCTCCGCAGCCTTGACCTGCTGGGCTCAGGTGATCCTTCCGCCTCAGCCTTCTAAGTAACCGGAACTACAGACATGTGTCACCATGCCCGGTTAATTTTTTTTTTACTTCTTGTAGAGACGAGGTCTCGCCAAGTTGCCCAGGCTGGTCTCGAACCTGTGGACTCAGGCAGTTCTTTCACCTCTGCCTCCCAAGGTGCTGGGATTACAGACATGACCCACTGTGCCCAGCCGACTCTTGCACTTTAAAACTTGGCAACTAGTCATTGTTCTCTTTCTCAGGAACATCATTCATGGCAGCGACTCGGTTAGAAGCGCTGAAAAAGAAATCAGCCTGTGGTTTGAGTCTGACGAACTGGTGGACTGCGAGTCTTGTGCTCATGACTGGGTGTACGCATGAGAGGTGGAGCCTGCAGCCGTCTCCCGCAGCACCGCTTCGTGCGTCCCTGGACACGGCTTTTCATTCCACTGACTTGGAAGCATCGGGCTTGGTCCTTCTTTTCTGAAGCATATTTACTAATAAAGCCTTTGGAAACTGGGCACGTCCTTGTGGTTTTTTGATACTAAGTCAAAAGAAGGGACTCGGTTCCCTGGCTATCCCTGGCATTTTCCAGAACTAGATTCTGCTGACGAGGGATGAATGGCCTGACCCTTCTGAGACGTCAAGACACTCTGGGAGGGCAAATGGTGGGGCTGAAGAGGAAAGCGTGGTGCCAGCTTTATATCTGAGGAAATGAATAAGGAAGTGGCATAAAGCATCCTAATTGTGTCAGCTAATATAGAAATATATGTTTCTAGCTGGACGTGGTGGCACACACCTGTAGTTACAGCTACTTGGAAAGCTGAAGCGGAAGGATCGCCTGAACCCAGCCGATCAAGGCTGCTGTGGCTGTGAGTGTGCTATTCACTCCAGCACTTTGGGAGGCAAGGCGAGAGGATTGTCTGAGCTCAGGCGTTTGAGACCAGCCTGGGCAACTTGGTGAGACCTCATCTCTACATTAAATAAAAAAACCAGGTGTGGTAGCACGTGCCTATAGTTCCAGCTACTTGGAAGGCTGAGGCGGAAGGATTGCCTGAGCCCAGCAGGTCGAGGCTGCAGTGGCTGTGA